CCCACATTTGAATGATGAGGAGAAATAAAAAACATTATTATGTTAAACTAAATTAATAATAATTTAGTTTGCATAGTTTAAATTATTCCTATTTTCCTTAAAAGAGTATTTTAAATTGATTAATCTTATATTAATAATAAAAATTAAACTGAATTTTTTTTTTTATTGAATTTGATCAAATTTTGAATCCAACTATTAAAAGTAATTCAATTTACATATAATTTATACTTGTTTAAATTTATATTCCATGAACTTACAATATTTATTTATTTTCTGATGGATAAAAAAATTCTCAAAAATATATCTTTTTCTTTTAAAGTGTTTATAAGTTTTTTTAGTTTAAATTAATTAAAAAATATTCTTATATTGTATTCCTTTATTATATGATTCTCGTATTTTATGGAAGAAATAAATAAAAATGTAAAATGGTCAAATAATATTTATTTATCTTCTCAATTTAATTAAACAAAACAAAAAAATATTATTATTGAAATATTTTAATTGATTAAATAGTTTTGGTCATCACACTCGTGAAAAAATAATAAGATTTTAAGTAACCATTTTTTTTCCTGAAGGCTTCTAATATATTCTAACTAAATATTACGTTTAATGAAGAATTTGAACTCTTTCTAGCATTAATTTATTTTTATTTAAATTGTGTTTCGTAGCTATTGATGTTAAGTTAAAATTCCATTCTAAGACTACCACAGAATTGTTATGGTTTTGCAAGTAACCATTTAACGAAATAGTTGTTATAAATAAAGTGATGAAAAATATATCAGTAACTTTGGGAAGAAGATCAAAGCATTTTGAAAATTCTAATGTGGGTGATTCATGACAATCATCATCTTTGCGTCATACCAATTTGTGGGGAGATCGACAGGACATATTTGAGTTATTATGAAGATCGTTTCTTCTGCACAAACAGGTGAGATTGTTGTTGGAAAACCATTTTGTTGATAAATTTTATGGTCCCATCTTATGGACCGATGATTTATATTCTCATAATGAGCGGTCACTGATACAATAAATGTCACAAAATACGATACACTCTCAACGTTTGACGTCAGCTTATAAAATAATAACATGAAAAGATATTAATTAGAGCTCAAAATTAAATATTATGGAGGTTTCTCTACTTATATATATATATATATATAAAAGTCATGTCCGTTGAAAATATGATATATTTGCATTAATAATGTATATAAAATTTTCATTCCTTAATTAATGTCTTTAAAATTTACTGTATTAATAATATCATTAAAGCACTAGTTAGCATTAATTTACTTCATTTCAAAATATAACATCATAATAGAATCGGAAGAAATTCCATTTACTTTGGTATAATTTCTCCGGCTCTCATGGAAATAGCTTGACTATAACTAAATGACACTCTTAATGCACATAATATTTATTAATTAAAAAATGGAAATCAAATAATCTGTCAATTTTGTTAGTCCTATTAAAACTTAGCTGATAAGAAATAAAGAATTTAAAAAATTATGTTATTAATTTTTCTTTCCAAGAATTATATAAATATTTTTTTAATTATTTAAAATAATAAACGGTAATAGTGGATCGAATGGAACAATTCGTAGTGTTTATTAATAAAACCTGACAATTAGGTAAATCGTAATGAAGGATAGTCTTGCACAAGAATTAATCTATGATTAGAGATAAAAATTAGTCAAGCTATCATAGGGATCTGCAGCTTAGTCTCACTTAACCTATTTTTATTCTTATTATGGTATGGATGAAATTTATCATTAAAAAATAATAATGCTATAACATTTATTAATTAATATTAGTGGATACGTATTTCGTTGAATACCATAAAATCAGTGAAATTGAAAACACCTCACAGGCAACAGGGCATCTGTCCGATGGGATGGAAGATGGATATAGCTCAATCTATTCGTGAGACTTACTATTTACTTGTTTTACTATTAAAAATAAAGTATTTTTAAATATATTATATAAATTAAAAATTAGATTAATTAATTTTTTAATTTATCAAAATTAATAAAAGATAATTATATACATATATATAATATTTATATTCTATTTTCAAAATATTTACAATATTAAAAATTTAAGTTAATAACTAATATGGAAGAAAGTATTATTATAACAGAAAAAGTCTATTTAATATTATTAACCCTACCATTAATATTTATCTCTGTTAGTTTTAATTTATATTTTTACAAACTCTATTTATTAAGGAAAAATAAAAAATATAAATTATTTTACAATAAAATTTATTAAAATTTGTTAAAAAATGCCTTATGAAAAATATTAAAGGAAGTTATATTTTTTTAAAATCATACAAACTAAAAAAATTAATTATTTTGTTAATAAAAGTGTTTTATTTATAATTTTTTAAAATTTTCAAATAAACAAAAGGATATCTGTAAAATAATAATAATAATAATAATAATTAATATTATCTTAAATTGTTATATTGATAGATAAATAGAATTAATTTTTTTCTTTAAACAGATAAATGAAAACTGAGACGGTAACTTTTTTTATACAATAGGTTATCTTCACACAAAAAATACTTTTACTCAAATCAGAATAGAAAGATAAAATGAAAAAAGTGATAATTTTATCGGTAAAAATAAATATATCATAAAAACACGAAATTTTCTCAACTAGTTACCTTTTATTTCATTATAAAAATATGAACATTAATTCTTAAAATAAATTTTAAGCATATAGTAAATATTCATTTTTAAAACAAGTATTTATCACATAAAAAATACATTAGTGTTATAATACTTACTTTCTCGATACAATTTTATTACTTTCGCAAAATCAGTCTTAAAAGTTAATAATACTAATAATAATAATTCTATTAATCTTTTACTATGATATTTTATAATTAAATATTAACATTAGTTCTATTAAAAGACTTGAATTTGTTCGAATATAAGCCCATTAGCCTGTATGTTTGTAAATTTTATTATGAAACAAACTTTTAAATCAACTAATTTTTAAAAAAAAGTTAAATGATAATTTAACAGACCTATCAAATAAACAAATTAAAATAAACTTGGAACTTTGGTTTGAAAAACAAATTAAATTTAAACTTTATAAAACCTACCCATAGCTGTGGAGCATGATTTTTCACTTCAGAAGAAGCATTAACACAATTTAGCTCCCACTTAAATGCAATAAATGAATAAATAATAGCAAACTACTCGACAAAAGCAAATTAAAATTCATTGAACTTGCTTAATTTTGTGTGTGACGTTTAGTGGCTTTAAGCGTTGCCCTTTCCACGTTGAACGTTATCTTGGAATAATATAAAATTCTTTGACTTTGTGTACGTAAAAAGTTATTCTAACTTAAAATGTTATTTTGAAGTTGAGTGCTATTAATAATTTTGAATTTAAGTTACAGTAAATGAAAAAATATTAAATATTTGAAGAAATTATAATAATTATACTCTCATAGTTGAATAATAATTAAAAAAAAAACATAGCTGATACGGCTAAACATGTTGTCGCGATATGGTTGTGTAAACTTTAAAACCGTAATATTATTATATTAATAAACCATAATTTAAAATCACAAAAATAATTATCGTGTCTTTAATTTTTATCCCAGTACTCATGCTTTATGGCAAAAATAAAAACGAGGAATAAAATTTTATGGAATTTTTTCCCTTTATTTTTTTAATCATAAAGGGATAAGCTTGCAAGTAGAGTAAAAATTAAAGGTAAAAAAGAAAATTCAAAATCATAATACCTAGAATTAATACCTTTTCTTCCATTAATACATATCATCAGCTAACCGATCATTTATGTCTAGCGTGATTTAAATAATGATTTATAATCATGGTTGCAAGCAAATACGGTTACGACTATAATATGTGATCGCCATATGATTACGTAAACCTCCAAAATTGCATTATCTTTTATCAACTTTTTCTAATCTGTATTTAAACAAAAAATAAAAATATTAAAAATTTAAAAGTTTTATAAAAAATTATAATAAGTACTACATTTAATCTAATGATTTATAATTAAAAAGTTTATATATAATTTTATATTACGTGTTTTAAATACACATTAAAAAATTAATTATTTATTGATACGGCAATTAAAAATCATAACACTTAGCATAGGAATGCTTTATTGTTAGGAAGTTTAAAAATTGACTACTGATGATGATGAAGACGATGGAGACTCATTTTCATATATGGTGGAAGTAAATTTTGAAACGACTTCACAATTTAAGCCATCAAATTAAATTGCATAGTGTTGTCATTTTTGGCTCCACGAATCGATGATATATCAATGACAGCATTTCATAACCAACGAATTATACTATCATTTAATAACACAGAATCAATAGTGATTAGAGAACTTGACAACGTGTGACGCTTGCTTCTCTTTATGCCCATATTTTAATGATAAATTTTATTTATACAAACACTTTTGTATAGCATATTAACTTATAATTAAGAGACAGATAGGAAGAGAATAAAAAGAGATAAATCCTTGTTTGCAATATATTAATTATTTTTAAAAAAATACTTTAATAAAATTAAGCATTTATTTCTAAAAAATTGAGACAAACGTACACACAGTAAGAAGAATATATAATGTGTGACTAAGATAAATTAATAAATTTAAATTATAAAAAGATATTGCAGAAAAGTATGTATAAGATTAATATATATTTTTTAGTTTAATTTACAACTATTATATTTTTATACCCACTTTTCTTACATTCTTTTTTCACTGATTCTTTCTTTCTATCCCCCTTTTTCTTTTTCTACGACATCAACCTTCCCATCTTTTATTTTAATTTTTTTTCCTACCTCGTTTTTCTTTCACCAAATCTAACATAGAAAATACGGACGTAGACGTATGTTTTCCGTTTAATTTAACTACCGTTGAAAGTTCTTCATACTTTTCCAATTCACTAATAGGTGTTACATTTGAACCAGGTCATGTAATAATAAAGGTACACCAGATTAGTATAGAAGTTATAGATTCGATTCTATGAAAAACATATACAGTACACGGGGGTTTTGGGATAGTCGACTAAGTGTGAAAACTGTAAAATATAGTATGTATCCTATTGTTTATGTGAGTAAAACTTGCGAGTCCTAGCGTGTAAAATCAAAGCCAAGAAAGTGCCAAAGAAACAAAGAGAACCCCAAATGATGAAAGTGTTTCTGTAGCATTCCATGCCCATGCATTTTCCATGTTCATGCCCTTCCTTATGGTAAACAAGGGCAGCAGAATAGCCAAAAAGAAAGGAACCTACTGGAATATTGGCCACAACCACATTATGGTTCACAGAGAAATTCTTGGTTCCAAATAGCTCAGTGGTGGTGGAAACAGCAATGGAAGTGATTGCTCCAGTACACACTCCAATTATGGCAGTGCTAATATAAAGGGCAAGGTGAGTTTTATTGAGAAGTAAGAAGAATGCTCCAGCAGTTGGAGCCATTAATGCCATCATAGAAGCTGGTCTTGATATAGTACACTTACCCCTGCATGCAAGCCAAACCATGACAAAATGTCAATAAGAGAAGATGCATAATTTAATAGCTTGTTTGTCTTCATTGATGTAGATCAACTAACACATTTATAGTCATTATTTGAATTATATAACAATGTAAATGCACTAGGCACTAGTTGTTGTTAGATAGGAACTGGGAAGCTAGGAAGATAAAGAATGTGTAATTTACCTATAAAAGTAGTCCATAATAGATGGCATGAGACGGCCAAAGAACCCAAAAGAAGAAGACAAGGACACCAAAGATGAAGTACTAGAGTAACCCCGGGATTCAGCTATTTGTCCCAAGTTATTAAGAAATACTAAACCAAGTGTTGCACCAAATAAGTAGACAAAGAAATATAACCAGAAATCTATTCTTCTCAGCATCAGTTTCACTCCAATTTCTTCTCTTACACCTACTTCTTGAACTCTTCTGATATCTTCACCCTCTTTCACCTCATTATCTGTCCTCTCTTCATTACTGCTCTGACCCTCCTCCACTGTAAAATGATAAACTCTTTGTTTTTCTCTATTTTTGTGCCATGAACCCACTAGTGCATTGATCTTCATGGAAAGCGGAACTAATAGAGGGAATAGAAGGGACATTAGAACACCCAAAAGACTACCCAATGGAGATATTTTGCTTGACACAAATTGCAAGCTGCTGATCACAGCATATATTCCAGTGGCAATTGTAATGACAAACATAACAACAAATCCAACACCCATGTGTTTAGGCCTTGTGACATCAATTTCTCTGACTACAGGAGCTGCAATTAGGCCAACTATCAAAGGTAAGACTGAGTTTAGAAAAAGAAAGGTTCTAGCTTTTTTGTGTCCAGGAACAGCGTCAACAATGCTGGTATAAATCTTAGCACTTAGCCCTTGGTAACTAGTTGTTAATCCCACAGCAACTTGGCGATCTGATGAGAAGTTCCTTATTGTGACCACATAGCAGACAGTGTTAATCCAACAAATGCTATTTCCTGCTAAAACTGTTAGTATGAAAACATGCCAATAGGAGAGTGAGGAAATATTGTTTGTTGTGAAGAGATATTGCACACCATAACCAACTAAACCAAGAGTTGATCCAATCATCAGGACAACCCAAAGGGGTAGGTAAACTGCAGCCATGCCAGAAAAAAAGCCAAAAAGTTTGCCTGCATCTGAGGCAAAAGCAAGATTGTTGAGCTGAACTTGGGACATGCAAAGGAGTTGCTTCAACTGAGAGGAGTATGCAGGGAAATTTGTGTTTGTTCCATTTATGGATTGAAGCCAAATGATGCCCACAAGGCTTAGCCATTGAAAAGTTGTTGAAGGCATGGTGTAAGAAGCCAATGGTGAGGAAATTTGAGGTGCGATGAGAGGCCTTATATTTGAAACAAATGACAGAAATGCTTTCTGATTAAATGGAATAATGTGGCTCTACATGTAAAATGTGGTTTTATATCAACCACCACCTATGCTTGAAAAGATTGTGCAAGAGGAAAAGACATATTTGTTATGAATTCAGAACATTTATTAGTAGTTAAGATTTTACGGTGCAAATCTTCACACAAAATTAAGGACACGTTAGGATAAATAATTTAACGGTTCTGATAATTGTAGTTTTTAAAACTGATTTTGAACCTACAAAATATTAAATTTTATTAAAAATATATTTATTATATTTTTACATCCTTAATGCAATAAATATTTTTCTAAAATAAAAATTATCATTTTAAATTTTTTATCCTCAGTCTTTAAAATTAAAGTTTAGATTTTTCATAATTTAATTAAGTATTGATTTAATAAAACAATTATATGAGAGCTTAATTTTAGTTTTGGCTGTAATTAAGGTATATTTAAATAAATTAAAAATTATAAGTTATTTTTAAAGTTTCACAAAAATTATTCTAAACGTTCTATAATTTGTCATTAAAGCACGGAAATTGATGGAAAGCAACAATTATGATTTGAGAAAAAAAAACGCTTTTCAACATTTTAGGAGGCTAGGTATACACTTTGATCTCTTCTATCAAGTATATACTGTCTTTGTATAATACTAGTCCATGAGGGATTAACTCAGATTGATCCTCGCTAGCTAATTCTTTCCTTAGCCTCTTTTCAGCCAAACCATAATTGTACATTACATCTAACATTTTATAATGATTGGTCAACTAGTCACAAAATTAGAATATACTAATCAAGATTGGTCAAATTTTTTAAGATTGATCTCCACAAAATTCTTTAATTATTCATTTATATCCTTTGAATGTATTAAAATTAGATTCAATACTGGAGTATTGCATCAGTTTGTGAAAATATGGAAAAAAAAAATTGAAATATAAAAATATGTTTTAATTGAAATATAAATTTCCATTTTTAGTATACGAAGTGTTTTTTTTTTATTAAAATTGATAATATAAATTGTCTATTTTTTAAAGTTATGGTTAAAAATAAATTAAATATTAAGATTGTTTATTAATCACTTCATCATAAATTACATTTTTAATATAGTTTGAATATTTCTCATCATGTCTATAATAAGAATTTTCAACATACAAATAATTGTGTATGATAAAATACAGGTAACCTTATGAATTATTTAAGTCAATATAATTTGAATTTCCATACAATTTAGTTGACTTGTCAATTATCTTAATAATATAGTTATTTATAATATAGTTATTCATTTCATCAACAATGTCATAACTCATAAACAATGAAGTGCTATAAATTATTATTTTACTTAAATACTTTTAATTTTAACTTTCATTTGTTGTTGACAATTGACGTATGTAGTATAATCAATTAGTTTAGGCAAATCATTTATTCACGTAAGTAGGTACTGATTTAGTGTCCATATTCATGCTATAGACATGTAAGTCATATGTTAAATTTATACGTCAAACAATTTACCTCATCTGAAGAGATTAATTACTTACGATCATGCTTAGATATTTATAGCAAAAGGCAGTACTATCTATTCATTTTGTTTGAAACCAATAATTCTTTGAATGATTTAAATCAAGTAAGTTTAGTCCATGTTTGTTTTAACAAGCTTTTAAAAAATAATCACTTATCTTTATTCAAAAGTTATTTCAAAATAACTTATGTTATTATTATTTTTTTTCATCCAATTTAATCTGAATTTGACTTAAGTCACACACTTAGATGTGGTAGATAAGTTTCTCACTAAAGATTTTTTACATATAAAAAGACTTAAATTTAAAACTTTAGTTAAATAATACTGAACTGCTTGTCATTCAAACTAATCTCTATTTATAATAACTTATGTTATTTAGTTATGTTTGTTTTAACAAAAGTTATCTTTCTAAAATAACTTATTTTTATTTTCTATCTTAATAATATATCTAATCATGTTTGGGATATACTATAACCTATTTAATATGTCAAAAGCAAAAAGATGTATATGTTATTTTCAGTAAATAATTGAAAAGATAATAAACTACCTTTTAATTTTGATATATTACAATGTTAATTTTATATTTTTAACATTTGTTAATGTATGTATAAGATTTAAAATAATTTTTTTAAAATATTATACTTTTATTTATTATTTGTATATTATTAGTGTAAAATTTGTTACCTTATAAACTAACTAAAACTCATTGTTAATATTTTTTATATTAGTTATTACATAAATCATTAATTTTTATTGATATGATAATTTATGATTGGATATCAATATACAATTTTTTTACAATATTAATATATTTATATTAAATTTTAAAAAATATATATTCATTTAATGTAATTAAAGGTATAATTTCAAAGTGTAATGAACAAATCAACAAATAATGTTTGTATCAAGTTATTATTTAGAATATAGACAAATTTTAAATAATTACAAAATTATATCAATATTCATTTGTATTTATTACTTTAAAATACTTTCTAAACATAATAATTAAAAATAAAGAATTTCGTTAAATATTAAAATTTTAATAATGTATTTAAAATATTAACTAACATAAAAATTAATAAATAATTTATTGCTTAAATTTATTATTATATATATTCATTATTTTAATATAAATTTCAATTTTGAAACTCATTCAATTTTAATAATATATCCATATACACATGTATATACCCTATTTAATAATATACAAATATAATTTATTCTATATTTAGGTATTAATTGGAATTGTTTAATAATATATCTACATACACATGTATATACCCTAAAATTAAGTGTTAAATATTTTCTATATTTAATATTTTTTATTTTAACTATTAAATTATATAATATTATTTTTAATGATCATACTATTAAATTTTAAACAAATTAAATATTTATAAATATACAATTTTATAACCAATATTTACTTATATTTTAGAAAGTATATTATACATTATTATTTGATGAATTATTAAATAATTTTTATGTTTTAGCTACATATTAATAATTCTTAAATTAACATTTAAATTAATGGAATTATTTATTTATAAAATATTATTAAATTGAATAACTTAATTTAACCGAAACTTACGCGTATAAAATAAGATGGTTGATATATATATATATATATATATATATATATATATATATATATATATTATACGTCTTAAAAAAAGTCTTTGTTTCACATAGATATTTTATTATTAGCATTGTCACAAGTATATTAAAAATAAATCTTTATATAACTAAAATATTAAAATTTAATAGATAATAATATATTATTTAAAATATAAATAAATTATTACTGCTGATCATATATATATATATATATATATATATATATATATATATATATATATGTCATATAAAATTTTATACACATAATTATTTAGATATATAATTTATTTGTTAGATTAATTAATTTAATTTTAATAAAAATATTAAAATATCATTTTACTAAATTTAGCAGCCTTACCATATGATATGCATATATGTAGACACACTTATATTACATTTTATTGCCTATGTACTTTGCTACCAAATAAAATGGCTTCCCCAAATGTGATGTACAAAAACAAATTTTTTTTCGCATGGTCCCATGTGTTCTAATAAATGTTGAGCGGCTGTTAAATTTTAATTTTATTTAAATAAAATTAATTTCTAAAAAATATTTATATTTAGATTTTATTTAAAAATAATTTATGAAAAAAAGAGAAGAAAAAATGTATATAATAATTATCTTTATTCAGAAGTTTTAAAATGAAAAAAAAAAAAGAGTTTATAAACTTTCCGAGACTCTTGATTACACGTTTTTTAAATTTTCTAGGAAATTTTGTATTAAGTGTTTATTACAGTTTCACTAAACTTGAAAAAAATACTTTATACTTTTATTAAAATTGAAATTTTTGATTCTTTTAATATTTTAAAAATTAAAAAATATTATATATTTTTAAATAAATCACTATCTCACTATTTATTAATATAAAATTTTAAGATAATTATTTTACATATAAGAAGATATAAAATGCCTTCAATTTTTAAGGCACAATAGAAATTATCTTTCTATTAACTTTTCTTTCTTTTTTTCTTCTTTATTTTTTAACTTCTTTTCTTTGCTTTATCTCTTAATTTCTAAACAAAGCTTTAAATTTAATATATTAAATTTAAATTATTTTTATTTAGTTAATAAAATAACTATTTTGAAATGTAAAAAAAGTAGATAATTTGTTAACCCAACACATAGAATCCATTCTACTTAACAGTAACAGTAAGTTGCTGTACATTTTTAAAATCAAATTTTCCCATCACACAAGCAAGCTTATCTACCATAAATGATAAATCTAAATAAATAATATTTTAAATTAATTATATTCAGAGTATTTAAATTTATATTTAAATAATGATAAATTTATATTTACTTTAACACTGTCACGTTTATAAATTTTTACTAACCACACGTTTAGTGTTGTTTGTTTTTGCATTCTGGAATCTTAAATGTGCGTTCATAAAATAGTTTTGGATTGATTCTAAATGTTTGATTATTCCAACTCGTTGTAACGTTAATGGACATCAAAGATTTATGTCAAAGACTATTTTGTTTATTCTTTTAATATATATATATATATATATAAGAATTTGATTAATCTCAGCCTGAAATACTTTTATGGGAAAAATAAATAAATTTATTATATTAAAATCATCAATATACAATAAATAATTTTTAATAAAATTTTATTATTATTAGTTATTTATTCTTAATCCTAAAAGTTCAGTTAATATTTTTTAATATATTAAAGATCACGTTTGATTCCACGGAGAGTCATGGCAACTCCTGTTACCTGTCATTAAAAATAAATCACTGTGGTTAGCAAAATAAATAAATCACTGTCACTCAATTAATTAAGGTTAAGACTCACCAAAAAAGTTGCAAAAGAAAAAATAGACGTTAAGGTGACGAAAGGGCATGTGAAACCATGATTAATTATATTAAAGTAAAATGAGAGACTCAAAATATAAAATCATGTGAAACCATGATTAATTATTTTCAAAA